GATAGGACATCGTGTGGCTGTTCTCTGTGCAATATTAGTTGTTATGAAAGGTTCTAAAAATTTTGACTGAGTATATTCATATACGGCATGAACCTTTTCCACCTCTAACCCAAGTTCCAGTAATAATTGTAACAAATCTAGACTGATCAAATAATTTTTCTGAGGTAAATGACTGGCCACTAATTTCGCATTAGATTTGGGGATCTTTCTACCTTCATTTTTCAATATAGATTCACAATAAGGAGATAACATCTCTTCTGATATATTCATGTGTGATAATATCAAAGGAAGTTCATCAGTACGTCTAGCTACCTCAGGGGACATGGGTTTGGTATCACATTCTATCCAATAACCTTTTTGACCTTCACACGAAACATTACTTAATCCCACATCGAGGAAAGCATTCTTCTCCTCATTCGATAATTTTCTGATACCATTCTGTGAAAGAGCTTCAACCATCGCACTAGCATACAAAGAATTAAAATCTAGATATAAAATATGAGTGCCCATTCCACTCTCAACATCAAAATTGGGATTAATTAAGGGATTATCTGCTTTAGTATACTGATTAATTGCCCATGTAAACCCTCCTCTGAGATTCCTTTTAATCAAGTCATATAATTCATGGGAATAGTATAACATATCTAATTTTACATTAGTTTTCAAGAGAAATGCATCCCAACTGAATGAAGGTAAACTTATATAATTACTAACATCTAGCTTATAAATATCTTTGAGTGTTTTACGCCACTCCATGGAGACATCGGCTAACAAACCAACATCTGTCTTGAGATATAACATCAAGTAATCTCCTAAAGTCTTACATTTACCCAAGTCAAACACTTTCAATGCATGATCATAATCTTAAATTCAATTCAATTCAAAGTTTATTCTCTATAAGGATTACAATGCTGAGTTTACAGAATTTGGTTATTGTGTGGTTTACATGTAGTAAAATAATAATTACAGAGTGTACCACTAGAACACCTAGCATGGCTAGGCATTTCGGGCAGACTTAGATTAAATCTGGCTAATATCATTATTTCTCAAAGATTTAAAAAAATGTTCTTTACTCGGTAATTTTGTTTCATCGAGTTTCTTTAAACTATCAATATAATCATAACACAAAACTTGTTTTCCTTTACATAATAAAGGTAAGACATCCTGAGGCACATCTTTCAGAATAGCCTCTGTATATTTCAGTGATTTACCAGCCTTGATATGCTGATCTGCTAAAGTGGAAAGAGATCCATTTAATAAAGACAGAGAATCTTGAAACCTAATCTTACGTATGTCTACTTTCAAGAATTTGAACCCTTGTTTCGAATGAAGTTCAATGTCATATTTATCAACCTGCAATTCCTTTAAAATTATTCCTAAATCATACGACATGTTATGGCAAAAAAGTAATAATTTCTCATTCTTATCTTTACACTGCAAATTGCAACGACCACAATAGGCTCCAATATAATTATTGAATTTTAAAGTATGGTCATGATGTTTACGTTTGTTTTGGGTACTTTTGAAGGTGTTACCACATAATTCACAAGTGATCTGAGAATCATGTCTCATCTTATCCTCCTCTTGTCATATGGATTACATGATACTCTCTTCTAAACTTTATTTTAGTCCATTCACCACTAACATTTAAAATGAAATGATTAACAGCATCCTCCCCTTTATAACTCTTCATACACACTATTTCTCCTTTGCGATCAAATATAATATAACAATAGGCAATAGGTTTATGACGAGACTCAATTTTACCTGCCGGGATGTGTATTACATTTTAAGATTCAATAAAAAGAAGGGAAAAATTTGTATCGAAAGAAGAAAAATTGTGAATAAATTGGTAAGTGATGAGGGTTGTGGGTATTGTTGTCGAACTAGAGATATCGAAAAAGATGTTATAAGTGGGTTGTTGTTGTGGGTGTTGTGGGTGTTGTGGGTTGTGGGGTGTTGTGGGTTGTGGGTGTTGTGGGTTGTGGGTGTTGTTGTCGAACTAGAGATACCAAAAAAAATGTTATAAGTGGGTTGTTGTTGTGGGTGTTGTGGGGTGTTGTGGGTTGTGGGTGTTGTGGGTTGTGGGTTGTGGGTGATGTCGAACTATAGATGCTGAAAAGTGGTTATAAGTTGTGGGTTGTTGTTGTGGGGTGTGGGTGATGTGGGTTGTGGGTGTTGTGGGATGTGGGTGATGTGGATTGTGGGCGTTGTTGTCGAACTAGAGATACCGAAAAAGAGGTGATTCTGTTGTAATTGTTCGTGTGTGTTTGGTTTGTGTTCATGTTTTTTGCGCTCATGTTATATCTTAGTTGGAGGCGAGTGTACTCATAGAAATTGGTAATTGTCTTGGTTATAGTGATTTGAGGGGATTTGTGTGAAAATGGGTGTTAGTCTGTGATTTTGGTGGTGTTTTGACTGTATTCAGTGGTGTTTTAGTAGTATTCAGTGGTGTATTTGGGAGTACTCAAATGGTGTTTGAGACTATTCAAAGGTGTTTTTGAAGGTGTTCAAATGATGTGCAAGAGTATTTATGAAGGTGTTCTGGGAGTATTCAGTGGTGATTTGGCTGTGTTCGAATGATGTTTTTGGAGTATTCAAAGGTAATTGATGGTGTTTTTGGTGTTGTTCAAAGTAAAGTGGTGTGTGTGTATGTGTGTGTGTGTGTGTGTGTGTGTGTGTGTGTGTGTGTGTGTGTGTGTGTGTGTGTGTGTGTGTGTGTGTGTGTGTGTGGGTATTAAGTTCGTAATATGTAAAATTGTGACTAGTGAATTTATCGAAAAGTGGTTATAAGTTGTAAGTGTTGTGGTTACTTTTTCTGATGAAATAGTTAAAAAGAGAAAAATATCTAGACTTGAGGAGAGTGAATCTTTTGTAAAGAAATTGTGGAATGTTGTGGGTATTAACGAAAAAATGTGGAATTATTTGGGTTATCCTGGGTTAAGAGTGAAAATGTGTAATGTTTTCCCTATGTTGTATATGAAATGTGTAATACTGAGATGGTGACGACAAAGAAGATCCAGAACAAAATGCACAGAATTTCTTCAAGAGAAAAATATGTTGATTTTAGTCAATGATTTGTATCTTTTTTTCAATGAATTTTTTTTTTGTTGGATGTATATGAAATGCATTGGTTGTATAATAAATAAATGAAAATATTGTGTATTAGTGTTATCCTGCATTTTAATGTCTGCTCGACAAGATTCAGCCTGTGTGTGAGGTCATCACGTGACGTCACTGACCGCCGAGTAAACACAGGTGGGGTGACGTCACACTTGTTTAGACCTGTAGTAAGAGAAAGTATCATGCCCCATAGGGGGAGTTCATTTGAATGCTTACCCCCAGAGGAGGGAATCCAAAAAAAACTTGATCCAAGGAGATGGAGCCTTGGTATTATTGATATGGAGAAAAACTTGATCCAAGGAAGTAGAGCAGGAATATTTGGGGTGAAAGTGGGAATCCATTTTGAATGCTTACCATGGAAAAAAATTTGGGGAGCGGGGGCGATCTGGACGATGCTGCAGAAGGCGCTGCAGAGGGCGTGGGCGGGCGCGCGGGCAGGCGGGCGCGGGTGCGAGTCAGTGCGGGCAGGCCCTGGTTGGGCAGCGCAGATGGTCGGGGTCGTGGGTGGGGTCGAGGGTGGGGTCGTGGGTAGGGGTCGTGGGTGGGGTCGTGGGTGGGGGTCGTGGGTTGAGGGCGAGGTGGTCGAGGGTGGGGGTCGTGGGTGGGGGTCATGGGTGGGGGTCGTGGGTGGGGGTCGTGGGGGGGTCGTGGGGGGTCGTGGGTGGGGGTCGTGGGTGGGGGTCGTGGGTGAGGTCAAGGTCATTAGCATAAAGGTGTGAAAAGGAGACCGCTCAGAGGAGGCAGCCACTCAGCCGCAGGAGCCACTCAGCCGCTTTCACACCTACTTATATATATTTATATATATATATATATATATATATATATATATATATATATATATATATATATAATATATATATATATATATATATATATATATATATATATATATATATATATAATATAAATATATATATATATATATATATATATATATATATATATATATATATATATATATATATATATAATATATATATATATATATGTCGTGCCGAATAGGCAGAACTTGCGATCTTGGCTTATATAGCAACGCTTATCTTGCCATATAGGACATGCGAAAATTTGTGTATGCAATAATTTCGCCAAAACCATTCTGAACCTAACGAAAAAAATATATTTCACTGTGTTTGTTTAGTATTAAATTATTGTAAACAAATCTAAATATATTTAGTTGGGTTAGGCTAAAATAAATTGTTCTTGTTATAATAAGGTTAGGTAAATTTTCTAAGATTCTTTTGTTGCAAATTAAAATTTTTTACACCAACATTAATGAAAAAAATATAGCTTTGAACGTATAAGAGACAATATTAGATAGGATTTAATTTTAAATGAGTTCTTGCTAATTGACCAGTTTTTACATATTCGGCACGACATATATATATATATATATATATATATATATATAATATATATATATATATATATAAATATATATATATATATATATATATATATGCAATAAGATCACAGTAAACAGGTGATTTCAAAATATGCAAAACAACCACTCTGAAAGAATAGAGAAATTCCAAGTGCTTTCGTGACTACTCACATTATCAAGGAACTATTGGAATTTCTCTATTCTTTCAGAGTGGTTGTTTTGCATATATATATATATATATATATATATATATATATATATATATATATATATATATATATATATATATATATATATATATATATATATATATATATATATATATATATATATATATATATATATATATATATATAATATATACGTATATGTAAATATGTAATAATTTTTTTTCACTTAAGTACACATTAATAAACAAAAGAGAACTTTGAAAGTTGATATTAATTAAGTGTGGCCATGTACTGTTCTACAAAAAATAAAATGAACTGATACTTACTGGTACAGCAGAGAATAAGAAGGCAGTAGTAAGGCCACATAAAGCTCTCCCGGTGAGCACAAGTTCCAAGTTGACGGCCAGAGCCATAGTGATCCATCCAAGGAATGTGAATGGACACATAACCAGGATGGTTTTTCGTCGTCCCAGCAGGTCCATCACATATCCAGCCAGAGGACATCCAACTACTGCTCCCAAAGCAATTATGGCCACTGGTGGAGAATCCAGTGCTTAATTATGACACTGAACTATTGAAAATTATAAATTCATATGCAGAAGACCAATAATAATTTGTTTACTAATTCTATACTTCAGTTATTACATGATTGGTGTACTGTATACCACTATCTAAAAAGTTGCTGCATATTCAGTTATGGAGCCCACCTTATCTTTAACAAAAGTGCACATAAGGATCTGCCTTTAGACACCCTTGAAGATGGGTATACTGATGCTGGTAAAAGACTTGATTTGAAGAATGGGAGCTACCCTCCCCTTACTTTGATCAAACTCAATTACTTCTCTGCCCAGGAACTGCATGACCCCAATAGATTTGGCACTTTGACATTAATAGTTACAATATATGGAGCATACAAAAATGGCATTTCCAGTTGCAAAACAAAACAATGGCGATAAGAGATATTATTTAAGCCAAAAATACAAGGAAAATTTAGTGTGATGGTACATACCCACCCAGGCATTCTGTAAGGTACCCATGTTCATGTGTGGGTCAGCATCAAGGGAGGTGAGTGCACCTGCTGTCCAGCCATTCACAGCACCTGAACATAGTGTTCCTAATGATGCAGCCATACATGCTAACACCTGCATGGAAATTTACAAGTGATAAGTGATACACTTGAAGTACAATATAAGGTACATATAATAATTTAATGCTGACTAGCTCCTATGAGCTGTCCTATCAAGAGGGAAGGAGGGAGTTGAAGGGCTTTTGATCTGTTCTGTATAATCCTACTGGTTTAGCGATCCCCTATGATTATAATAATAATTATTATAATAATCTTGATCTGTGGAAATTGAAGCACCCTTCTTTTTTTCCTAATCAACTCTGATTTTCTCTCATTTCCCAGGTGCTGTCTGATCTGTGCCCCTAAAAGGAGGATCCTTGATTCTAATGAGGGGCTTTTGATTCAAGGGACTGATTTTTCCTTCCCTTGGGCAGAACCTAATTGCCTCACATTACCCAGGAGCTGTATGACCCCTATGGGTTTAGCGCTTCTCCATAAATGATATAATAACTGACCCATACGAGTTTGGCGCTTCTTCATGGATATAATAATCCTCTGAGCTTTTTTTTTTAAGAAAAGTGGCATTGTTAAGGTAACACATCTACCTAACTGGATAACTCAGTGGAGAGTGCCGGATGACACTATAGGTTTGGTACATTGTTATGAATACAGTATGTACTGTAATGTGTAATAATACTGTACTATTATAATTATGTATAGAATTATGTGCATGTATACATATCCAGTAATTATGCACATGTATACATATACAGTAATTATGAACATGTATACATATATTGTAATTATGCACATGTATATAATTCTATACACCTGTATTTTACGGGTGCTAATATTTAAATATGTATACATAACCTCTGGCCCAGCTTTTGGGCATTATCTACTGTACTTCCATTAGTGGGTCTAGCTCACATGTGACGATGCCTTGAACTGCTACACCTCCCTTATGCTCCATTGTATAATTATTATAATCATGGGGGAGTGCTAAACCCGTAGGATTATACAGCGCATGTGAGGGGGGGAAAGGAATGGAAGGTATTCTGGCTCAATTCAGGGAACCGATTCACAGACCTAATTCCCTAGATCAAGAGCCCCTAGCCAGCGTCAAGGAACCTCTGAGGGGCCATCATATAAGCATCCAATCTCCGTCTCTGCTGCAGATTGATCCAAGCTGTGAGGATGAACATCTCATTACCTCATCTTCCATTATCTCCAGCTCATATCTTCACATTGAATAAAAAGAGCCACTGGATGGTGTACTAAAGAGATAGATAAATTATACAACCGTACAACGCCCGGTTGTCTAATTCATCTATGCTGACTATGTGATCCAAGGTTAACAACATCATATTTCTGGTACCTCAACGTTGCTACAATGTTTGCCTCATAAATCATATGTTTCAGCACTGCAAGCAATTCAGACATTTGATTCCGCACATCTTGGTGCGCACCAGTAACACACCATGAACCAGCAACAATCATTGCAATCTTATAAATTGTATATCTTAAATGTTTCTCACAATTATATCACATAAATGTTAAACCTAAGACCCAATCTAACTTTGTTATTATTTAAATACACTACCTAACGGAATACTCCATTCTACTGAATGTACAGCAATGCATGCAACCATATGACCTGTCTTTGTAATATTAATTTGTGCTTTATTGTTATTTGTTTACAATAATGTTTTATCACTGATTACATCATTGCTTAGTTAATCTTAAGTTAATTTTAAGCCAGCCCGTAATGTTATGCATGCAAGTGGCTTTGGCATGCTGCTCTTACCTGTATTTTTTTGTACCTCTGTATGTATGTTCAAATTATTAAATAAATAAATAAATAAATGGGTTTACCCAGGGCCGGATTAAAGCATGGGTTTTAGGGGCTGTAGCCCAGGGGCCTCCGGCAGCTGGAGGGCCTCCAGGGGCTGTAGCCCAGGGGCCTCCGCCAGCTGGAAGGCCTCCAGGGGCTGTAGCCCAGGGGCCTCCGCCAGCTGGAGGGCCTCCAGGGGCTGTAGCCCAGGGGCCTCCGCCAGCTGGAAGGCCTCCAGGGGCTGTAGCCCAGGGGCCTCCGCCAGCTGGAAGGCCTCCAGGGGCTGTAGCCCAGGGGCCTCCGCCAGCTGGAAGGCCTCCAGTGGCTGTAGCCCAGGGGCCTCCGCCAGCTAGAAGGCCTCCAGGGGCTGTAGCCCAGGGGCCTCCGCCAGCTGGAAGGCCTCCAGAGGCTGTACCCCAGGGCCTCCGCCAGCTGGAAGGCCTCCAGGGCTGTAGCCCAGGGGCCTCCGCCAGCTGGAAGGCCTCCAGGGGCTGTAGCCCAGGGGCCTCCGCCAGCTGGAAGGCCTCCAGGGGCTGTAGCCCAGGGGCCTCCGCCAGCTGGAAGGCCTCCAGACATTAAGTGAAAAGTGTTCACAGTTGCTGCTCGAAGTTTATAATTGTAGTATGTTATTACATCACTCATATGATGAACTGTTAACTGTTGTGATCATTTTTTTTTCTGAAAATATCACTGGGGTTTTTACAGTACTTGTAGCCCAGGGGCCTATAAAATCTTACCGATTCACTATTAACTCATAGTGTAATTATATAATCAGTGGTGGACTAGTGTGCTAAGATAACCTAGGAGAGAAGACCGAGACACAGGAAAAGCTAAAGTTATCTTAGTATGCTGAGATACACTAAGCTATAGTGTATGTGGTTATTGTGGCTAGGAGCCTGGCTAGCTATGAGGAGCCTGGCTAGCTATGAGGAGCCTGGCTAGCTATGAGGAGCCTGGCTAGCAAGGAGGAGCCTGGTTAGCTAGGAGGAGCCTGGCTAGCAAGGAGCCTGGCTAGTTATGAGGAGCCTGGCTAGCAAGGAGGAGCCTGGCTAGCTAGGAGGAGCTTGGCTGGCTGGGAGGAGTCTGACTAGCAAGGAGGAGCCTGGCTAGCAAGGAGGAACCTGGCTAGCTAGGAGGAATCTGCCTGGCTGGGAGGAACCTGGCTGGCTGGGAGGAGCCTGCCTGGCTGGGAGGAACCTGGCTAGCAAGGAGGAACCTGGCTAGCTAGGAGGAGTCTGGCTGGCTGGGTGGGCCTGGCTGCCTAGAAACCTAGCAAGTGGTTGAGTCACGTCAAACTTGCTTCATTGTGTTCTTTTGTGTGAGAACTGTGCATGACAGTCCTCATAATAATGTCTCGGTGTGTGATCTATCTTAATGATGGATCTTGGCACTGTGACACGGCCCTGTTGCGGTGCCACTTTTACCAGCAGTGACGTGGCCTTATTGTGGTGTCACTTGCCTCAACAATAACGTAGCACTGTTACCAGCAATAACATGACTGTTGTGGTGACACTGTTAACAACAATAACGCAGCACTGTTACCAGTAATAATATGACTGTTGTGGTGGCACTGTTACCAGAAATAACATGACTTGTAGTGACGCTGTTCCTCTGATTTACTCAATTATCTATTATTAGGTCTGCTTAATGATTCAAATTCAAATTCAAATTCAAAGTTTATTCTCTATAAGGATTACAATGCTGAGTTTACAGAATTTGGTTATTGTGTGGTTTACATGTAGTAAAATAATAATTACAGAGTGTACCACTAGAACACCTAGCATGGCTAGGTATTACAGAGTGTACCACTAGAACACCTAGCATGGCTAGGCATTACAGAGTGTACCACTAGAACACCTAGCATGGCTAGGCATTACAGAGTGTACCACTAGAACACCTAGCATGGCTAGGCATTTCGGGCAGACTTAGATTAATTCTTAAATTTAAAATATTACAAATTATGAGGTAAGTTGGTATTATGGCTAAGTGACTAAATACTAGTTTGTGAGTTTAGCAATGTGAATGCTTTTGTTTTGGCACAGTATATAGTTTCAGTATTGGAGTATCACAGGTATATCTATTATTAGGTCTGTTCAATAAGTTATTATTAGCCGTGCAGCCAGCAGTAACAGCCTGGTTGATCAGGCTCTGATCCACCAGGAGGCCTGGTCACAGACCGGGCCGCGGGGGCGTTGACCCCCGGAACTCTCTCCAGGTAAACTCTAGGTAGGCCTGTTTAATAAGCTATTATTAGGTCAGTTCAATTATCTATTATTAGGTCTGTGGCTCCAGCTTACGCCAATAGCGTAGCCCATCAAGGATGATGCCTATATGTCTGTGAAGGGCTCTTCATCCAAGGAATTCAGGCTACCCTCCCTCTCCCTGAATTAAACCAGCTGTACCACTCCCCAAGTGGTGTATCACCCCAACTGGTTTAGCACTTCCCCCAGGAACTTTCTTCTGGACGCTAATTTATACGTGGAATTGTTCATATTAAATGCTAAATTATACGCTCATTATCTCTCTCTCTCTCTCTCTCTCTCTCTCTCTCTCTCTCTCTCTCTCTCTCTCTCTCTCTCTCTCTCTCTCTCTCTCTCTCTCTCTCTCTCTCTCTCTCTTCTTTCTCTTCTCTCTCTCTCTCTCTCTCTCTCTCTCTCTCTCTCTCTCTCTCTCTCTCTCTCTCTCTCTCTCTCTCTCTCTCTCTCTCTCTCTCTCTCTCTCTCTCTCTCTCTTTTCTCTCTCTCTCTCTCTTTCTCTCTCTCACTAAGACATATTTATTTATTTTATTAACACACTGGCCGATTCCCACCAAGGCAGGGTGGCCCGAAAAAGAAAAACTTTCACCATCATTCACTCCATCACTGTCTTGCCAGGAGGGTGCTTTACACTACAGTTTTTAAACTGCAACATTAACACCCCTCCTTCAGAGTGCAGGCACTGTACTTCCCATCTCCAGGACTCAAGTCCGGCCTGCCGGTTTTCTTGAATCCCTTCATAAATGTTACTTTGCTCACACTCCAACAGCACGTCAAGTATTAAAAACCATTTGTCTCCATTCACTCCTATCAAACACGCTCACGCATGCCCGCTGGAAGTCCAAGCCCCTCTCACACAAAACCTCCTTTACCCCCTCCCTCCAACCTTTCCTAGGCCGACCCCTACCCCGCCTTCCTTCCACTACAGACTGATACAATCCTGAAGTCATTCTGTTTCGCTCCATTCTCTCTACATGTCCGAACCAC